TGTAATGTTTTAACAGGGATATTACGTTCGACGAAAAGGACCACAAAATTACCCGCGAAAAGGAATAAAAATGTAATAAACTCTTTGATGACCTCAATCAAAAGACCTCCACTGAATATTTTCCCCTCCTAAGTTAAAAGCTGACATCAACTTTGGACGGTTTTCAAGGTTTTTTGGGTTAAAGGTTGACTGAATAAACAACTGAAGATGGTGTCCATGGAGAAAAAAAAATAGTTTGAATGCAGCATTCGAAGAAAGGTGAGCGATTCATTCTTCTAAAACGCCTACAATGATTACTGTTAGAAAGTTTTACTCATGCAGAAGAAATATATGAGTTCACTGAATTATTAATGGAGAGTATGATTGACGATTTATACAGAAGCTACTTAGTTCTTTTTCTTGTAATTTCCTTTTTAATTGTAAATTGTGGAAGGAAATATTAATTATGGGATAAGGAAATATTGATTAATGAGAAATTATAAACTTATAAAACAAAAAGTAAAAAAAGAGGCAGCTTTTTCTAGTTAGGCCAAAAATTTTTTAAAAAATCTTGTTGGCGAGTTTCAGTTATTTGATATATAAGTAGTTTTGGTTCGTAATAATTAGCTGAAACATTTTATTCCATCAAGCTTTTTCAAGAAATTTGTAAGTTTTTTCTGGAAAGTGACTACTCTCGAGAAAAAAAATCTTATTTTATGTTTTTATAAGAGAGCCACTATTTGAGGGTCACTGAGAAAAAAGGCATGGACAAAATTATCAGAATATGGAATCATTTATAGTGTTTCTGGCTCTATGGAAACAGCAATGAGCTCAGTAATTTTAACCGAATTGCTTTGGTAAGGAATTTAGTAAAATCAACAATAAAATATGGTTTTATGCTACATGATGGAGATAAAAGTTGGTAAATGTGGTAAAATTTGGTACTTTTGTGAAGATATTTTTGAGTATGGCATAAAAAGCATTTATTTAGTTAAATTGACTTTTCAGTTCTGTTTATTTTAATAAATGTGTGGTAATAAGAACTATCATTTAAAAAATTGAAATTTCCGTTAAACTGTTACCATGTGGATGGAAAAATTACTAAATGAATGTTTTAAATACCGTATATTTTAGTTTTACTACACAGAATTATGTTTCTTTTTTTACCACAAGTGCCATTACCAAACATTACTGTAATTTTACCAGAATGTTTGCTCCGTGTGATAGAAAATAAAAATTTGTCACTTCTAATTTTGACTGCAAAAATTTTAAATGATAAAAAAAATGCTATTTATAGGCTTATTATAAGCCGTAACAAACTACGGGCTATTGTGAAAATGCTTTACTTTACTTAATAGGATTTTTTTAGAAAATGACGCATCCTTTACAACTAAGAGTAAGAGCAGTAGAGACTTGAAAAATCACATAATATATAAATTAAAAAAAAAAAAAAAAAAAAAAAAACGTCGTTTATAAACATTTTTAAAGTTTCCGTCTGTTAAGTTATGCGCGAAAGGAAATCAAATCAATAATTTGAAATTTTAAACAATTATTAATATTTTAATTAAAAGTTAATTAAAGCTATTTAGTTAAATTGAAGTGGATTTTGAAGCTATAGTTTTTTTTACCAAATGTTCTAGTTTAAAATTAAGGTTTTAAGATACCTAAAAGTATTAGGTTTTTCAAGTGCAAATCAGTTTATCTTAAACGATGTTTTGATTTTTTGCAGTTGGTGTTTATCTATTTTTTTTTTATTTTTTTTTTTTTAATATTTTCATTTCTATTTCATTTGCATATTTTACAAAATCATTACCTTTTGCTATTAATAAATTTCTTAGATTGACTTAATATAATATTAAAAAAAACAACAGTTTGCCATACTTTATTTTACATTTTAAAAAGAATAAAATTAATTTGATTTTATTGCTATTATACAGTTTCTCGCTTACCTAAACAATGCATTAGTAGGTAACAATTCACTTTTTATTACTTTATCCGAACTATAATGATGACGTTGTGGATCGATGCTTCCTCACCCTTTGTTATAAAGTCAGTTTACAATCGTAAATAAATAAATGTTTTAGTAAACGAAATAAAAAAGAAGGAAATTATTTGTGCATTAAAGCAGCCAAGTGCTAACCTTTCATTTTCTTTGAATCGTAGCGCGTAAATGTGCATACTCATGGATCAAGAAAAAAATAATTGCAATTATTCAAGAAAGAATACATTAATTAATATCAACTTCAAAGTATTTATGTTTAATGTTCTGAAAGTGGACGACTCCTCATGCTTATTTTGTTAAGCGTACTATGTTTTTTTTGAAAAAAATATTGAGTTCGTTATTTATTTTAATAAAAAATGTTTATTAAATTAAGTCCGTATAATTTCTAGATTAAATTTCAGAAGAAAACAATGAATTCAGTATTTAATTTTAATGAAAAAGGTTGATAAAAAAGAAATTCGTATAATTTCAGGATTATTTGCAAAAGAAATAAAGAAATACTACTTTCATCTATTATGCCTGAAAGAAAAATCTTTAAAAATTTAAATTGTATAAAAAATATTTTAATAAAAATTTTGATGAGTAAATTAAGAATGTTTTTTTTTAAATAATTATCTACTTAATGTGCTTTTCTAAAAAAAAGTTTTAACTTTTTTATTTAACCTTTTTTGTAACTTGGATGCTTTTTAAATGAATTTTGGAAGTATGTTTCAATATTGCTTAAAACACTCAAAAATTTGTATTCATAATACGCAAAGCCTAGACTCACTTGTCACGATTTCACCCACTTCTCATGAAGTTCGAAAGCTAAAATTTACAACATGTGCTTTTTATGCAATAAATAGAATAACTGGAAAAGTTTATTTCGATATTTTTTAATTACTGGGGTAATTAGCCTGATTGTCAAAAATGCTAAATAACATGTTTTTCGAAGATCGATGTCCCAAATTTGGAGGAAAAAGAAACTTAAAAGGTTTCAATTCGATACTTTATTGTTGTCAAGATAATTATCCTTACGCTAGGTAAAAATTAGCCACAAAGAAAGAAATCCCTCATTTCGATCACGAGTAGATAAAGAGAAAAGTTAAGAAAGTGTAATTTCCATATTTTTTTCTTATCGGGGTAATTAGCCAGATTAACAGTAATGCTAACTAACATGTTTCAATTTGTTACAAAAATAGAAGTCTCAAATTACAGCCACGCGTTTTTCTATTCAAATAACGGGAAACTCTAAAAATATTTCATTACGATACTTTTTAATTATTGGGGTAATTAGAAAACAGCCTAATTGACAATAATGCTAAATAATTTTTTTAAAATAAGATTTAAATCTCGAATTGGGATCATATGTTTCTTATAAGATAAATAGAAGACTAAATATATTTATTTCAATATTTTGTAGTTGAGAGGGTATTAAGGAGTAATTATTCCAATTAATTAAATTATTCCAATTAGTTAAATAAATAAAATTTTGCCACAAAGATATAAGTCTCACACTTCGACAACATGTTTCAAAATAAGTAAAAAAAAAACTAAATAAATTTCATTTCGATATTTTGTAATTCTTTACGTAATTAGTCTAATTAACATTAGTGCTAAATAACCTATTTTTAGCAGGATGGGACCTCAAATTCTGACCATGTGTTCCTCATAAGATAAATAGACAAACTAAATAGTTCCGCTTCAATATTTTGTAATTAATGGATTACCCCAATTCAAAATTATATAAATAAAAATTTACCACCAAGATAAATCTCAAACTTTTTTCATGTGTCTCTTATCAGATATCAAGAAGAACTAAAAAAATAAATTTGGATATTTTGTAGCTATCGGGGTAATTAGGGGGGAGTTATCCCGACTAAAAATTATGCTAAATAAAAGTTAGAGATAGAAATCTTGATGCGCTTTTCTTATCAGATAAAGGGCATTACTAAAAAAGTTTCATTTCAAAATGTCGTTATTGTCTGAGTAATTAGACGAAAATTGACAACAATGTTATTTAGTTTTCTACTAAGAAGTCTTAAACTTCACCCACGTATTGAAAAAATTTCATTTCGATATTTTATAATTATTGGGGTAATTAGACGAAAATTAGCTTAGTTGACAGTGGTGTTAAATAACGCGCTTTTATTAAGATAAAAGTCTCCAATTTGTATTACGTGTTCTTTATAAAATAACGAAATAGAAAATAAAATACGAATCAAACTGTTAATAATTTTTTTTTTATAAAACATCATAAAAGTTATGCAAAAAATAAGTTTAGATGTAATCAAACAAGTTTTGTGTTTATATATTTCATACATTATTTTAATAAAAATCCACGTAGTACTTAAAGCCATTCATGTTTTAATTGAATTTACTACTTATGGGGGAATTTAACACGTTAATATAATGTTATATAAGAGTATATTTTAAAGAAGCTCTCGCTTTAGTTTAGTAATTTTAAATCTTGCAGACCTTTGAACAAACCCGAACTCTACATGCAAAACATAAAGAATATTTGATTTCACGAAAAGATGACTTTACTTATAAAACTTTTTCTTATACTTACAAAAAAAAAAGAAAAAGAAAATAGAAAACGACTTAACGAAAAATCTGTGGATACGTATTAAACAATTCACCTAATATTTCGTAGATGTGCTAAATTTCATTGCGTATTCCTTTTTGCCTAAGCGCCTTTGATAGTTCTAGATGTCTCTTATGAACTCCGTTGAAAAATTACGCTGCATAGAAATGTTTCATTAATCCTCAGCATCTGATATAAACACTCTCTTTAAGGTCGTATCTGAAATATGAAAATAAAACAAACACATTGTTCTACGAACATTTTTCTTCCATGCATCCTTGAAAGATAAAACACTTTCTTACATCCAAAAAATGCATTTCCTTCTATATACCACTTTTGATGTTTTTACTACTCACTATCCATTGGCATTCTACTACCAAAAATGAAGGATTGTTACATTGATTGAGTAGGAAAAAAAAGAAAGACTTTCACTTTTGAGGTTTGTGTTGCATATGTTAATCCCAGGTGAGTAATGAAGGGTGAGCATCATCATTTCGATGAAACTCACCGGACAACAAATGGAGGATGACGTCACTTCCGTCAGAGAATCGCGAGATGATCCCTTGTAGTGTCCGAAAGAGAAAGATGGTGCGGAGGTGCAAGATGATGTGGTGGATCATGCTCCTGGTGTTCGCGGCTGAAGCTCAAGAAATAAGGATCCCGGCATATACTGGAAGGACACAAAATAAACCAGGTATTTTCCTTTTTATTTCTATTTATTATAAAATATTTTATGTGTGTTTTATCATTCGGATGTTGACGAAATTATGTATAAAACACATTTAAGTATTTGAAATGAGTAAAGAAGTAGTTGCATCAGAAATAGTATAATTGGCAGAATATTTTTATGGAATGATATTAAAAATATTTTTTTTTACTAAATTGATGTTTTAAGAAATTCAAAAATACGTGATGCGAGTTTTTTGCTAATTATTGTATGATAAAATATTTAGGAACAATTTAATATTGTCAAAATATTTTTAGTAAGATTAAAAAGTTAAACATTACAACAAGTTCTTATTAGATATAATTTGCTCGATGGTGTAAAGTTAGCTAACTAAGTATAAAACTAAACTCAACTTTAATCTGAACTATCCTAGAAAAATTTAAACAGGATTCTTAAAAGCTGAGTTTTGAAGCTGAGAACAAAAATTTGTGTCTTACTTGAAGAGGCTTTTTTTTCACTATTAAAAGATACATTTGGGAGTTTTCTGAAGCCCGAGAAATTAATAAACTAAATTATCGAGGGGAATTTATCTTTGTTTCAGTAAAACATTTAATTTAATGATAAAAATTATTAATTTGCGATAACTTTCTATCGAATTTCAAAAATTATATTTAAAACAAAAGACTGCCAAATCTTTTCCGATTCACGGTCTTATACAATCAATTGCACGTCTTCACTAAGATGCTCCTAAATAATTAGAAAAAAGCATAGAACAACTTTATGTTAAAAATATCTTTTTTTTTTATTTTCATTTCTATATAATAATTAAAAAAAAGATATCAAAACTGGGATAAAATATGAAGAAATTGGTTCTGAACCATAAGTCATTTAGATATCAGTAATTAAAAACATTTATGTGTCTAGAAAAATATGTGCTTATCCAATGAGTGGTATTTTTTTATAGACGCTTTTAAACTGCTTAATAAGAAATTATTTTTTGATATAAATTATCCCATTATCCTATTAATTTCTGTGTCTTTTATGTAAAATTCTGTGTTTGATATACTATAGATTATAGAGATTTCATACAAAATATAAAGAATGAACAAACACAGATTCATTAAAATTCTATGTTTTTTCTTCTTCTTATACAGGGTGATTCTAAAAAGATAGGCAAAATTTAGGAAGTGATAGTACACACCCAAGCAAACAATTTTTATCAAAGAATGCATGGTTGAAAACAAAACGCAAAGGTGCTGGCGCATTTGGAAAGTTGTTTGATGCAAACGTGATAGCTCCATTCCTGTTGCGAGTTACTGCGCTGCGTTACTTGTCGCCAAGCTTTCGGCCGCTGCAGGGAAAGTTCGTGATATGCCTAGCGTGTTTCAGAATGTTCGCCTATCTTTTTATCGCCGTTGTACTGCGTGCATAGCCACTGCCGGCCACTGTTTTGAACACTTATTGTAATCACATGCCATTAAATTTGCTTTTATAACTTAACTTCATCGTTCTTTGTGTGTTTTTGCCTCATATAAGAACATAAACTTTGATGCCCTCCAGCGGTTTTGCGTTTTGTTTTAGACCATGCATTCTTTGATAAAAATTGTTTGCTTGGGTGTGTACTATCACTTCCTAAAATTTTGCCCATCTTTTTAGAATCACCCTGCATATCCTACAAACTATAAATTCATGCCAATAGACTTAAATAATGGTTGCTGGTCTTTTATTGCTCAATTTAAGTAAAAGAACAATTAATTTTCAGTTTAGAGTTTTAAAGAAAAAAATTTCTGGCTCTGGCCAGAAGAGGTGGTCTGATGAAGCTGAGCTGCATTTAGTACTATTATTAATTCCTCCCCCTAGTCCTAAAATATACCGGCACAGTTACTTTCTTTCGTAAAATTTTACGGGACAAAAAATCTATCNATAACTTAACTTCATCGTTCTTTGTGTGTTTTTGCCTCATATAAGAACATAAACTTTGATTCCCTCCAGCGGTTTTGCGTTTTGTTTTCGACCATGCATTCTTTGATAAAAATTGTTTGCTTGGGTGTGTACTATCACTTCCTAAAATTTTGCCCATCTTTTTAGAATCACCCTGTATATCCTACAAACTATAAATTCATGCCAATAGACTTAAATAATGGTTGCTGGTCTTTTATTGTTTAATTTAAGTAAAGGAACAATTAATTTTCAGTTTAGAGTTTTAAAGAAAATTTTTTCTGGCTCTGGCCAGAGGAGGTGGTCTGATGAAGCTGAACTGCATCTAATACTATTATTAATTCCTCCCCCTAGTCCTAAAATATACCGGCACAGTTACTTTCTTTCGCAAAATTTTACGGGACAAAAAATCTATCTATCTATATATATATCGTAATTTTAACAGTTAGTAGGGTGAGGGCTACCGATAGTGTCAACCTTTATCTGTCTAAATGTACCACAAGATAGAATAGAGTTGACATGTCTTACATACTAGTGAATGGAAATTTAATAGTTGTAGTTACGCCCACCAGTATTTTATCTGTGATAAAGTTCGGTGAACGAGTACTACTAGTTTATTCATTGCTGTTTTGCGAGAGGCCGGGAGAGCTGTATTAATATCACTGGGCTTTGAGTGCTGGTTGTGTTAAGATCACGACTGTGGGTTTAGTCGCTGCCGTGCTGCAATTAGCAGTCGAGTGTGTAACGACCTCCGTTTTGTATGATCGAGGCTGAGTTGCAACAGCGTGAGGTGGACAATATCACAGTTACAAAGAGCAAGTCAATTATTCATCGTGGACATTCCATCACGTTCATATTGAGCTACTGTTGAAGTAAGCGTGTTCAGATCACTTGTGGGGCACCATTACGGGGCGTAGGCTACCGACAGGGTTAACCTTCATCTACACAAATAGAATCAAGTTAACATTGTCTTATAAACTAGTGAATAGTAATTTTATAGTTATAGTGGTAGTTGCGCTACAAGTAATTATTAATCAGTAATTAAATAATTATTACTGTAAACTGTACGGTACGCAATTTTATGGTAAAATTAATTTTACAGATGATGACCCAAGGAGACGGTACTTTTTTTTAAATCATAATTTGATTCAAAATTTTAACAGTGTTCGTCACTGAATCTATTGAATTCTAATGAAACTTTATTCTATCTCTTAGCCATCAGACATATGTCAAGTACTTTTTTAAATCCTTTAACTAATAAGCAAATTTATATGCCACTTCTTTTGAACGAAAAGGAAATTTTTAACAAATTACGTAACGGTAGTTTATTTTTTGAAGAAAAAAAAAGTTTTTCCTTGTGTTTGAGGTTCATGGGTTAAGGTCAACCGCAACCTTCTTCTATTCTGATTCCTAAGAAAGGATTGACAGATTTATTCACACACGAGGCTTAGAACTATTGTCTCGATCCTTTTGCGTCAAATTATGACATGAAAATATCTGATATACTCCTTGAATGGATGCGATAAGCAGATGAAAAAAAAATTATAGAAAAATAAATTGTTTTAACCTGGACTTAAAAGTTAGAAGCATTGTTTTAAGAGTTTGTATTGAAATCTCGTTATGATAAATTCCTCACAAATTTTTTTTCAAGACTTTAGAAATAAAATTAACTCAATTGTTATTTCTGATAAGCTCAATCATCATTTATGCCTGATTAACTCTATTATCGATCAAAATGAACGAAATTAACAAAATTTATACTAAGAATTATTAATATAGTTTTTCTCTTGAATTTAAAAATTGACATGAAATTTTAGTTACCATAAATGTCATTCCCAAACAGTAATTTTTTAAAAAAATTAAAAAATTAATCGCACTTTACCCTTCAAAATTTGGAGCAAAAGCATATAAATTATACTTGCTTTTAGAAGTTAATTGAAAATTGGAAAAATCTGAATTTAGTCCCTATAAAGTAAGATGCAGTTTCTTTTTTAGTTTATAAAATTCTTTTTAGGAATTATTACTTTGAACTATAAAATGCCAATTTTGTCATGGAAGGCATATGGTAAAAAAAAATTATTGTAAAATTACCGTCCTGTATAGCAATGACACTTTTTGTAAAATAAAAATCGTAATTTTGGTAATACAGACCAAAATATACGCTATTTAAACTATTCATTTGAAAAAAATTTCAATCATAGGGTAACGGCTTACCAGATCTTCTAGTATAAAATTATAGTTCTTATTACCATATATCTAAAGTAAAATACATTACTGAAAAGTGAATTTACGCGAATAAATTGTTTTGTCGCCCTGCCCTAATCATGATAAAATTATCATATTTACCAAATTTTATTGCTCCTTTTAAAACATTTTTTTATTGCTTGTTTGGCCAAAATCATCAACACAGTGCTTCGGTAAAAATTACCAATCGCTTTAGTGTTACCGTAAAACTAGAAACACGGTAAATTTTAATCTATTCTGGTAGTATTAAGCATACTTTTTTTTCACAGTGCGGTCTTATGACTGAAGGTGACATCATATTTAATAATGTACTAGCATCACCACTGAAATCACATCACCTTTATTTATGCCAGAAGACACTTTTTTTATTTACTGCAGTAATATGCCTTCATAACATAAAATAAATTACTGTGAATGTGAATGATTGCGATTACTTGTTCAATAATAATTCTGATTTGGACGCATCTGTAATTTTAGAGTCAGTAATTCTGAGCACAATCATCAATATTATTTATTAGTTCAGAAAAATTTATGACAATTTAAATATTAATATCCTGCATTTTTCTTCAATGAAACAGAGCCCATTTTTTAAGTTAAGTTGTTTCTTGAATTATATTAGAGTAGAGATAATTTTATGTTATTGTCAATAATTTTACCAAATGATATCATACAATAGTTTTGAATCCCCACTATTAATTATGTTGCTAAGAATAAAAGTAATTTTTTCAATCAAATTTTCTTATATTTAAATAAGTTGTTTGTACAAAAATTATTTCGGAGATAATTTAATATTGTTCTCGCTTACGATTAAATTTACATTCATTTTTCTTTAGCAATTAAGTAGT